GGTTGCGGCTGAAAAAGGTCTGTTTCGCCCATTTACCTGAGCTTTCTTGTCGAACCGTTAATATAATTTTTGCATTGCTTGTTGAAAAAAGTGTCTGTGGAAGCGTTGAATGCGTAAGGATACAGGATCAATTGGCTCAATTGAACTTTTCAAAAAAATTGAGGGATCATGAGTGCTTACAAACACTTCGTTGTATTACAAATGTTGGTTCCCGCTTATCACCCAGTTTTATTCCTCATGCCCTAGAATCCATTCAAACTTTGGTGAGGCAATGTCAAACAGAGTTGCTACCAACATTATCGTACACTATTGGGAGGCTCCTTACTTCAAAAGAAAATAGAGGGATTCCTATTGAGGTTCAGCATTCTCTGCTGGAAAGTTTGGTTGTAAGGGTGGACTCAATTGATTGTATGCTGCTAAGTCAATCCGAACTTATTTATCTTTTGTGGGCTTTATCTGCTTTTTGTTCGCCCATTTTGTCTTTGAGAACGGCATATTTGAAGACCTCCTATATGCTACTGATGCGAGGGATTAAAATGGAAGAAATCAAAGATGGTGGCCCTATGGATTTATTATTATTGCTTTTCGGTTTGTGTCCACTGCTTGAATGCTCTGGTTTGGGGAACTCCATTCTTTCTTCCCAAGAAACTGGGCTGATAATGGACGTTACGACTGATCACGGTGAAATGAAGGAGAGATCTCAGGGATCTTTGAAACGATTGTTGGATATGCTTAATTTAGTCCTAGTTTCTTTGATTCAACATGTTGCCCGTGAGGAATTACAAAGCCGTCCGGTATCTTGTGTTATTTTGGAGATGCTTACATGGTCTAATGCAACAAAAGTGTTAAAAAATGCACAGATTTTGTATAATCTTCTTATTTGCAGACTGCTTTATGGAGAAAAAGGTATGTGGTTCTGTGAACGGGAAAAAAACGTGCTTTCTGAAGGAGAAAAACAACCACCATTAGTGAATTACTTTCTATTTGAACAAAGTACGGGACTTTTGGACATTCTTAAGACTCGACTAAGCCTATCTGTATTTTCTTCTCTACCTCTAAGTGGATTTGAAAAAGCGTCCGTCCGTGAGATAATTGTGGTGCTAGAAGCCATGGTATATGGCAATATTTCGGAGAGCCTCAAAAAAAATTATATAAAGGGATGTATAATGAAACTACCAGGGGCTATTCGCATTGTATCAAGAAATGAATTTTCTCGTATTGTAAATTTAATAATTAAGCTGCACCTTTGTGATCAGCCAATTACGCGTGCAATCCACGATAGATGTCAAGAGCTTGGTATTAAAAAAAAATTGTTACATAAAAAAAAACTTAACGAGGATGCAAATTGCCACATGAATACAAAAAACACATCAATGGATGATTGGAGCTCTGATGTTATCACTCTATACATTTGTGAAACTTCTTTAAAACTTGCTGGCGAGGATAAAGACTGTAAGACTGACGTACCCAAACTACTTGAGAATTTAAGCACCCGAAAAGGCATGAGCAGTGCCACAGAAACACATTGTGTATCAATCATCAAGTCACTCGCGAAGCACCAACTATCTTTTAAAAATGAAAAGTTTTATCAGTTATCGTTGAATTCCATTTTTTCTCGGGTAAAAACAGGGCTCCCCGTTGGATCAATGCTTTCTTTAATCCTTAATGGAGTAAAGGCGGGAGTATCTTGTGAAGCTCTAGTAGATTCACTCTTATGGGTTGGCTGTCGGCTCCTTGAGGGAGGAATGGCAATGGCTGATGCAAAAGATGTGGCCATCTATTTTATTGCGGCGCATGAGCTAGATTCCTTGAATATTGCCTTCCATCCGGTTCTTCTTGGTATATTTCAACAGGAAAAAGCCATTGACGTGCTTTCCCCGCATTTGGTAACTCGTCTGTTTCTGGCCTTATGTGCACTTGGTATAGATGATAGGTCGTTGCTTGAACGAATTCTAGACCGAGTGGAATCGTGGTGCTTGAAGGTGGTGAAAAAAGCCGAATGGTCAGAAGAAGATTGGAAAGCAAGTTTAGTTTTTGTCCATGCTTTATGGACTTTATCATCAGAGGTTGTCTGGAAACCGTTAATGCAAATGGCACAAAAATTGGTTTCCTCTATGATTGAGAGAGAAAATGAGCATAAGACTATGGGATACTCTCTTTTTGTTGCTTCAGCTGCCGCCAGTTTCAGCATTCATAACAATGCCGAGACCCCTTTTGCGAAAGGAGTGGAGAAGACTTTTATTTCTGAAGAGCTTTCAGGATTTCTGAAGATTGTCACTTCACTTTTTTCGGAAAATGCGATAAGTTTCTCACTTTCTCGGACGGATGCATTACTAAGAGCGGGAGCCATGGCCTCCGTCATTCCCCAATACAGCAATATCATTTGCTTTCTTATTATTGCTCATGCTGTTCAACGTTTTGCCCAAGGTGAAGGTAATTCTTCAAAAAAGTTAACACCCCTTGGAGTAAGCCTGTGGCGATACTGCCTAAAGCATGTGGAGAAAATACCTGCTACAGACAATAACTTAATGACTGCGGTAGGATTTTCAATTCGATTTGGTGCAAGCAGTCAGGCATTTGACCGATTCATGTCAGCATTAATAGAAAAGGAAGCAGACGTAAACATGCTATCGGTATGTTTCATAGCTGATGGTTTGGTCCGAACAGGCAAACGAAGGTCTGTGGCCACTCAGTTCGTGGCCCATTTTTCTCAGAGGAATTGTTTAGATGATTTACCAGCGGCGGCATTACTCTCTTTACTTAATTTCTTTGTGCGAGATGCTGAACGAGTATCTCTTGGTCTGGCTCGAGCAGACATGCTTACTGCACTTGTGTGGTCATCGCTTAGCCTTAAACTGGCTCGGCTTCCGGAAACCAAAGGACTTTGGACTTTGGTTGACTCGGTGCCTACAGAAACAAGGTCGTCATTGCTGGTGTTTTTGTCTGAAGGAGGATTGATAGATAAATCTTCAGTGACGGAACTTGTATATCCCGTTTCTACTGTTTTAAGTTGGAAACTGAACTCAATAAATGGTGCCTCTATCATCAATTTCTTGCAAAAGGTAAAAATATCTCTAGATATTCGTAGAACCAATGAAATTGCACCCGATCTGGTTGCGGAGGAGCTTCTGAAGAAAATATCAGAACGTCTTTAATTGCATAGAAGCTGATTTACCGCAACAAATTTGATACTTTCCCGGTGTTCTTTTTTTTTTTTTTTTTTGTGCGTGTGTGTGTGTGTGTGTGCCTTTTTCTTTTTATTTCCGTGTACATTGCTAAAATCAATGCTCAATTCTTTCATTTCCTGTACCTATATATATATGTGCTGCGTCCCTTTTATATATACATAAAGAAAAGGAAGTCGGGTTCTTTATCGGTCGCAATATGTAATCTTTTAGAGAAGAATATTGCAATGAATCTTGATAACGAAACTGGATGTAATGTTGATCAATTAGTTGAAACGTTGCAATTTTACGAACAACAAATATCGAACCTAACGGAATCTATCGAGAGTCGAAATGAAGGTCATGCTAGAATGGAGACGATGCTTATGAATCTAATCAGTGAGAAAATTGGCGGCGTTCCCCCTCCTCTGATGCCGGAAAATGCTACCGCGAAGGCAAAGGATGATGATTTTATTTTAACTGTTGGTAGAATGCAAGATGAAATTGAATCGACCCGTCAAACTCTTCAAACGGCACAAAGAAACGAAGAACTAACAGGAACAGCATTAGCCCGTATTGCAGCCTTTATCACGCATCATGATGAAAAATACAAATATCATCTTGATGGATTGAGGGAAGCTGTTAAGAACTTTCAGAATGTCTGGAAGATGAGTGAGGAACATAATAAACAGTTAAAATTGAAACTGAAAATGCCCCCGAATGAGAACCCTGTTAATGCAACCACGTTAATGCCTGGGAAGACTCAACTTCATAAATCTTTAACGGAGAAAATGGCACCATGTTACTTTGAAGCAACTCGAATAGTAGTTCCATTGCTGAACTGCATGACGGCAATTCTTGACTCACTTAAAATGAAAGGAGAACTTCGTTTGAATAATCGAAAACAACTAGAAGATGCCCATCAGACAGCCAGGTCTAAGCTTTTTAAGCAGAGAGATGTGTTAAAAGATGTTCGACAAATGGTTGATAGCATGGAAGGAGCCATATTGAAACTTCAAGCAGCAAATAATGAGAAAAAAGATATATGGGATAAGTTGCAGGAAGACCTAATGGAACTAGAAAACTCTCCGAAACTCACGGATAGTGTAGCCACAACGAATGAGACAATACTGGAATTGTCTATGGAAATAGTTGTACTGAAGCAAGCCCTAGAAGAAGCCTCGAAATTAACCCAGAAGGCTCAATTCGAAGAGAAAAAAAACGTTGACACGCTAAGGTCCCAAACTCTTGAGCTTGACCATGCAAAGAACGAGGTTGCTCATACAAGGCGGGCACTTACAGCATTGGAGGAAGAGAAAGTGGAAATTCAGGGACAAATAGAGGCCAGTCGTGAGAATAAACGCAAGCAGTTGCAGGAGACTGAAAATGAAATACAAAAAGTGAAAGACTTTTATGAAGAGGAGCATGAAATTAAAGAAACTCAAAAGTTGTTTGAAATGGAAACGCAATCCTTCAGAGTCTCTCTGGATGAAGCAAGGAAGCGCTTAAACATACTGAAGACTCAACTCGAGTCAAAGGCAAGCCAAAAAGCAGTGCTTCAGGAGAAGAAACTGGCCACCGAGGAAAACGTCAAAAACTTAAAAGTAGATTGGGCGCATACACGCAATAAAATTATTGAAATACGCAAGAGTATTTCTGGACTACAGCAACAAGAAGAAGAAGCTTCAAAAAACTTGCAATACATCAATTTACTTGGATCCGATACAGTTTTTTCTTCCTTCCCAAGTGACTTCAATCCTCAACAAGAAGCAGGTGGTAGGATTGCGGACGAGAACCTTCGTCAGATGTTCATTTTGCAGAATAAAAATCTTGTAACGAAGGCTCGAAGAGAACACCGCTGCAGTAATGTGGCAGCAGGTGTCTCTTGTATCAGCAGTAAGAACCTTGACATAGTTCATGAATTTGGTGAGAATAAGGGTTTAGAGCGACCCCGATCCTCTTCAACCACAACACAAGAACCATTACATTCCACGAGTATTCCTGCCCCTGTTGCTCATATACCCTCTTCCAAATATTATTTTGATGATCATTTTTCTACACATGCAACAGGGCGGGAATCACGAGAGAAATCTCCGTTTATTTCAGCAGAAGAACCACCCATTGGCACGACGACTCATATTTTGCCAGATGAAAAGAGCGATTTGTTTTTTTGTTCCCGAAAAATTGATATTCGTTTACCTGATTTGGGTTCAAGAGGGAATTCGCCAGAAAAAAGAAAATCTGCATTATTGCCAACGCAAGAAGCAGCAGTAAAACATTTTTCAGAATCGCCGACTCGCTTTAACGGAAGTGGTAACATAAGAAGCCCTCCAGTGATTGAACGTGTTAACCTTCGTTTACAGGAAATTCTGAATAGAAATCTTTGAGACACTTCTTCTGTTTGTATCGAATCATCCTAATAGCTGGAACTATCTCAATTTGTATTGCTATTACCTATGCAGAAACCTTTTTGTGGATTACTTTGTTGTTTATTTGGCTTAGCTTGTGTTGACTTCCTTAGTGTATTTTTTTCTCCCATTTTTCTTTTTCCTTTTTCTCATTGTACACATACATATATATAATTTTTATGGTTTCAGGGCTTTTTTGGCCTGTCCGTCGGATTATTATTGTCCTTATCCTTTTATCCAATGGGCGAAGATCCTGTAGAAGACGTCCGGCGCTACCTGGCACGTGATGAAAGCCGGGAAAAGGAGCAATTTACGGCCTCACTGGAAGGGAAAAGCTCTGAGGAGCTTTTGGCCCTTCTCAAGTCTCGAAGAAATGTGGATGCCGGGGAGAGCAGTGCGTATTGCACTGGGAGCTCTATAAGAAGTGAATATGGAAGCGGTGTCGCTGTGAAATCGGAAAGCGATGTGAAGAATACTCCGCCTGTGAAAAAGAAACGGCAGGCCGAGGATGCGGTAAGTAGCATGACGAGCACAGAGAAACTGGTGGAGATTAGTAGGGTAGAAACAAGTCGCGATGAACCGCTGCCATTAAGAAACGAAAGTCCAAAGAGCATCCAGGGTGAGCACACTGCAGCGTGGCAGGCAGTGCGTTCAGGAGTTATTGTCACGGAGGAAGAACTAGAGGAAGTCCGGCAAGAGATGCTTATGCAAGAACGTCTGTTAAAAGCCTTGGAAAAGGACAATGCAAATCTTCATGAGGAGCGGCGGGTATTGCGTGCAAAATTGAACGAGATGGAACAAAAAGCAGTGAGCGTCGAGGCCAAATACAGTATTTTGGCGAGTGGTCGAGGTCCTAATTCCCGCGTGGGCCAACCTGTACCGCCAATTGCCATTGTTTCTACGGAAAGGGAGCAAAAGTGCAGCCAAGACGAATTGCGTATGGAGTTAGAACATCAGAAAACGGTAGTGCGGGAATTGCAGCTGGAGTTAGAGTTGATTCGACGCGAGAAAAAAGATCTCGAGACACGTTTAGCCGCTCTTGACATCAAGAAATTTGAAGAGATGGAGTTGGAGGTTCGCAACTTGCGCGTAGATTTAAAGCGCAAAGAGACGGAACACAATGAGACCGTGAAGGATATGGCACGGAAGATTGCATGGTATGTGGAGCATCAGGAGTTTAACCATTCCCAGGAGGAACTACTAAAGGAACAACAAGACACCATCCACCGTCTTCGTGCTAGACTACATGAGACGGGGGCCATAGATGACGAGGGAAAACGTAAGCGTGTTGGGAAAGATGCACGTGTGAAGTATCTCACCAAGCGTGTGGTAGAACTGGAAGAGGCACTTAACCAGAAACACCCGAACAGCATTGCGCAACTAATTCGAAGTTGTCAACCCTCCGTGCAGGATTCAAAGCAGTTTAAGCAACTCAATCTGAAAATAAAGGAATTGGAGGAGGCCCTAGTAGAAAAAGACCGTTGTGCTGAGGCGGCGGTCACCCGCTTGAGGGTGGAAACGGATCGAATAAAAATTCAATATCAAGAAAAGATTGAGAAGCTCGAGGACGAGCTTAAGCTTCGCTTAATGCATGCACAAACGCGAAGGGTTCGCGAGTTGGAAAAGCAACTAGCGGAGGTAAGAGAAGCCTTGAGGGAAAGAGATCAGGAAAAAACATCACCCGTGCCAGAAGTAGAGAAATCGGCTAGTGCTGGTGCTTGCTTACTCGAAAACAGTGCTGCCGCTCCAGCTCTGCCGGAGAAAACAAAGTTATTCATGGGAGCGGCACAAAAGGGAGTATCTAGCCAGGTAGAAGAAGCCATTTCGTCTCTCCGCAAGGAGAATGACACTCTGAAAAGTCAGTTGTCACAAGTCACACATGAAGCAACACAGAAACCTATTGCAGTCTCACCACCGCTGGAAAAGGGGGAAGACACCTTTTCATCTCATGTTATTTCAAGCATGCAGGCCCAGATAAGTACTCTTACTGCCGAGTTGGCGGTGTACAAAAGATTGCTTATGGAGAGTCAAGAGTCCCTCCGCGACTCAAATACACGCTGGGAAGAGCGCCTAGGAACTGCAAGGCAAGAGTATCAGCAACAAATACAACATATACGACAGGAGCACAATGATGACATCAAACGAATTCAAGAGAACCACCAGCGGGAGATGAGGACCATTGCCGAGCAGCAGCAAAATTTACAGGAAGCCTCATGGGCCTGTCAAAAAGCTGCCCAAATCCCGCTTGAGAATCCACGACAGGGTACTGCTTTTCTCCAGAGTGTTGCGGAACGACTGGCATACCTGGAACTTCGTCAGCTGCAGAAGGAGCGTGAGGCCGCCCACGAGATTTTGGAAGTTAAGCGTGTGGCCGATTTTGAACTCACCTTGGCGAAGCAGAAAACTGAAATGTTGATTGAACAAAAGAACCAACAGATTCAAGAATTTAGGCTGCAGTTGGACCAGCTGCTCGCCAGCCTTGCTCTTCTGCATTCCCATGTATAGATCGGTTGGGGGTGGGCCCTGCCTGGAATGATGTCATGAGACTACCATTTTTTCTATTTTGTAGATATCAACAGTTGTTGTTGTTGTTGTTTTTCTGCTTTTCTTTTCCTTTCCTGTCTCTCTACTTTTGCATTGATCATCTCATTTGTAATGAAAGCAGCTTAATATCAACCATACCAAACGAAAAAAAAGCAAGAGGATTGGTGATAGCCTCTTTTTTTTGAAATTGTCCGAACCACTCTGGAGTTTACAGTGATATTCACATCTATCTTGGATGTTCTACGTGCGGTATGCGTAAAGGGAAAAGATCATAAGAGTGTCGAGAAAGGGCGGGTTCTCCTCCTCGATGTCCAACACACTTATGCGCGTTTATTTCCCCAATTACTCTGTGTGTAAAAAGGAAAAAGGTCCCTGGTAAATATTCACAAAACACATTTATAAAATGCATACATGCGTACAGCGGAGGGAAAGGATGCAGAAAAATTTTATGATTCATATGATTGTGTTGCTCTTCTTACTTGCTACCCATTTCACGTTTACGGCCAGTGGTGTTCTAACCGTTTTTGAGGGAAGAACGAAGCCGCCAGATCTTGATGGATACACTTTCGACCGCTTTCTGCAAGAATATGGAAAAAAATACGACGCAAGGGAATATGTGCGTCGTAGGGCCTTATTTGAGCAGACGCTGGCCAGGGTGCGTACCCACAATGAGGCAGGAAACCATCTGTATGTGATGGGCATCAACCACATGTCAGATTGGACACCGGAGGAGCTTGCCAGTCTGAACGGCGCAAGGCCGCGCATGATGAGCCACCTCGCCCAGAAGAGTTTACAGCGCAGATACCAGGCAATTGGTGGGAGAATCCCCGATGAGGTAGACTACCGCAATTCCTCCCCCGCTATTCTTACGGCGGTAAAGGATCAGGGCCGTTGTGGAAGTTGTTGGGCCCATGGTGCGGCAGAAGAGATGGAGTCGCATTTCGCCATATTAACTGGAAGGCTTCACGCGCTCAGTCAGCAGCAATTAACATCGTGTGCGCCCAACCCGAAAAAATGCGGTGGGACGGGTGGCTGTTATGGTTCGACGGCAGATCTAGCCTATGAATACGCTGAAAAAGGCATCGCATCAGAGTGGGTGTATTCCTACACGTCATATAGAGGCGAAACAGGTGACTGTCGTAATGAATTGGATGTGATCGCCGTTGCCCAGGTCCAATATTACGTGAAGATTCCATCAAACGATCAGGATGCCGTCATGGAGGCCCTTGCCAAAAACGGTCCTTTGTCAGTCAACGTCGATGCAACGTACTGGGCGGCATACGCTGGAGGTATATTTAATGGCTGCGGCTACAACAAGAACATCACAATTAACCATGTTGTACAACTTGTGGGTTATGGGCACGACAACAAGCTGAACCTTGATTACTGGATTTTACGTAACTCATGGTCTCCAAGCTGGGGTGAAAACGGGTACATGCGGCTGCTGCGCACGGATAAGGCCGAATGTGGCTGGGACGTCATGATGCAGGACGGTACGGCGTGTGAGGACGACCCTTCCGTTGCTTGGGTTTGTGGAGAATGTGGGATTCTCTTCGATACCTCTTTCCCTGTGATGTCGTGAGTGCAATGTATTTTTTACTGTAGTCCCGCCGCTTCATAATACTTCACTTTGCGAAAGAAGGGAAAGAGGGGAGCCCGGTGGCTGTGGGGCACTCAATGCTTCCAGTTTTTTATCGCATATAGTAAACGACCTTTTTTTTTGTAGGAGCTTGTGAGGAGAGTGATCGCGGGAGAGCTGGCTGCCTTAATTAATTTATATATGCTGATACAACGAATGCACTTCTTTACGACGCTTTTCTATCTTATGATTTTTTGGGAAGAACACGACTTTGTAGGGGATCAGGGAATTGATAGCGGCTGGTTAATTTTCATTTTATTTTGCCACCCACACTCCTTTGATTCTCTTCTTGCAGCGGGGTCTTGTGTCTGGAGGATCCCAAAGTCTGCCACTTCGTAAGTAATAAATAAGTAATAAATATATATGTATCGCATCCGAATAGGGTGAGCGGGCCACAACTGTGGCTAATGGACGATGCATATACATATATACACTTACTTGTTGCTAAACTTTGAGGATATGATGGATCCATTCTTATTCCGTTGATCCCTTTCTCATTCTTATCTGTTTTTTTTTCTATGATTGAGAAACTCAGGATTCGGCCAGCCGCCCGGAAATTTTTTCTGCTTTCTTTCTTTTGTGGTGTGTGTAGGAATTCGACTGGACCAAAATGCCCTTCCGACCGAGTGCATTTTCCCTCCCTTATTTGAAAGTATGATTTTCTTGTTTTTTTTTTTTTTTTACTGCTTGTGTTCTGGCAAATTAAAATAGAAGTAAAAAATAAGAATAAAAATGAATCGTCTCAACGTCGAGGAGGCAACTCGCGAGGAACTCATTGCCGTTGTGAAGCAGCTATATCAGCAGTTGCGGCAACAACGTACGAGCTCAGAGCGTGTCAAGGAACTCGAGAAACAGGTAGAACAATTGAAACAAAAACTGCGTGAGAAAGAGAGCGCAGTGCAGGATTTAGCAAAACAGAATGCCATTTTCTCAGAGAAGTCTGTAGCGGATGAAGAAACAATCAGTGTTTTAATCAAACAGTTAGAAGAAATGAATGTGGGGGATAACAACCAGGCGTTCAGCGACGACATCGTGGAGGCGCGTGCGGTCCCCGCAAAGGCTGCACCCTCAAGTCCCAGAGAAAAGTGGACGACTGGAGGCAAGGTCGTACAGGCATTAGTGAAAGGATCGGGGGGCGGTGGTAGTGGTGTCACGGAAGGTGCCCGTGGAGACTCCTCGACAGCCTTCAATGCAGCAACGATCATTGCACAGAAAAACAATGAATTGGCTATACTTGAAAAGAAAGTACGTGAACTCACGGAAGTCAACACATTTTACACGGCTATTGTCTTGCGCCATGACGAAGAACAAATTCAGGGGGTATTGAAGGATAGTCTCTCCAAAAAGGAACCGAGCGCTGTGACAGATATTGAAATCACTTCATTACATGAACGTATTGGTTTCTTGGAGAATGAGCGAGATAATTTGCAGCGGGTCGTGCGTCAACAGAATCAGGAGAAGCAGGTCCTCATGAAGGAGCTTCAAGAACACCGTGAAGAGCTTTCTCGTTTGGAGCTGGATCTGGTGGCGGCGGAACGCTGGAAAGTATCCTTAGCTACTCCCTCTGAGACAGTAGAAGGCATGCCCTCCGTTCATATCTCTTCCTCAGTACAAAGCGAAGAGTTTTCCCCATTGCGAGCATCGGCACAGTTAGTAGATCAGATTCAGCATAAAAACAAGCGTGGTAAATCCACGCTTAACATACCCACTCGGCCCCGGGCTACCGACTCTCCAGTTGACACACATACGCCACCACGTAATCTCGCAATCGGCAGAAGTCCGCATTATTTGGATACACTTCCTGAGATCCGTTTGTGGAACCCATCTAAACAGGAGAAAATTCTTTTGGAACGTGTCGAATTGTATCGTAAATGCATCGATGAAATGCAAGCTTTTGAATTGGACCGTCAGCGGGGCTTCGATGAAATTGAACGTGCGCGTGCAGAGCTTTTCACCGAGATGAACACGAAACTTGAGGAACAGCGTCGAGAGATTTATCGCCTAAACAAAAGGATTGCCGAGTCCGTCAGTGTGTGCAGAAAAGAAGAAGAAAAAAAGAACTTGGAGCAGCGCCCCGTGAATGATGTTGTTACTTCACCCATAGTGGATTCTCTGCAAGATGAGCATGTTAGCATGCCATCTTGTGAGGCATTCTCCTCGGTTTCCGCTGGGGTGAATCGTATGCTGAGAAAAGAGGGAGCTGAATATGATCATGCAGAAAAAAAAGCAAGAGAAGGAAACGACTACATTGACGGAGAGGATGTGAATGTGGTTAAAGAAGTATTGCTGGAATTTTTGGGAGCTGCTGCTGCATCATCAGAGATGAGTGTACCGGGGAAGGAAGAGGTGGAAATGGCAGAGGAGAAGCAACTCACTAAATTTGGCGGAGACGATGAAGATGTGAACAAACAGGATAGCCCGTTGGAGGCAGAGACAGACGGGCTGCAGGAGATTTACGATTCATCCTTACCAAAAGTGGACTGGGCATGGAAGCTAATGGATATGGCTGAAGAAATTGGACGGTTAGGCATCTATTGCGAAGAGGGAGAAGAAGCGGTCGGAATGTCGCTGCGGAGTCGATCGGCCACTGCTGCGCTGGTAGCGGGGCTCACCGTGCAAGTCGCGGAATCCTCAAAGAAGATGGAGGTTCTTGAAACCGCGCTTGTTGAGATGCGGGTCTCTGTTTCCTCTCTTGAGGGACGGGAACGAGAACTTGTGGCAGAGGTTGGACGATTACAAGAGGAGATGACATCTATGATGGAAGCAGACAAAGTCAAGAAAAAATTGACGGCGAAACGCGAGGTTTTCACCCCCTCCTTGACCGATGTCGCTTGCACAGAAGAGCCCTGGGAGCCCCTGCAATGCGTATGCCAGGCGTACAGTGAAGTGGTAAATGCACAGATCGCACTTCTGCGTGCAGCTTCCGCCATTGTCGCTGTACCCAAAATTTCAGACGAGGAGTTTGAGAATTTTTGCAAGGCACTGGATGCTATTGTGACGAAAGATGATCGCGTTAACAATGGCATCAACGAAAAGGATGGAAGAGGCATTCCCTCAAGCTTTAAGTTTGTTGAAGAAGAGGGTTCTGAAAAACAGCTGGGGAGGAAATCTTCACCGTTAAAGACGGCACCGCTACAATCTTCAGAGACATCGACATTTTACATAAAGCACTCGCCTGGTCTTTTCTCTGCCCCAATGGCGACTTCTGGGAGCGGAAAAAAAAATGCCCAAACCGGCAACCATTACTTATTCTCTGAATTCCCGTCGACCCAAGCAGCCGATCCTCAAAGTGAAACCAGTGGATTTTGCTTGGACAAAAGTCCCGCCGCGTTTTATTTCACATTGGAAAGTGAAAATGAAAACGATAAACGTTCCCCACCGCCCGCTGACGCGGCAGGATCATCTCCGCAGGAGACATACCCCGCCTTCTTTGCAGAGAAACATTCGCACAAAGCCTCCAATGCAGCACCTAACAGAAGCATTGCGTCACCTTTGGGTTCAGAGTCACCCGGACGATTTGCACCGGATCCTTTGGATTATTTCGTAAAATCCCGTGAGATGGGTAAAGATACGCAACGCGACGGCAGCGTTCACGGTAACGCAACCAACGTGAAAAACTTTTTGGACCTCTTTGGCGCGGCACCTTCCGAAGAATCACATTCAAAGCAGGGGGGAGATAACAACGCCTTTGTTGCCGAGTTTGATCCCTTTGCTTGAGGCCTTGTTGTTGTTGTTGTGTGCGTGCGTGTCTTCATCCCTTTTTTTTCTTGGCTTCTTTCAATTGACTAAAAAGGAGATTTTGCCAGCACCGAGCGGGGCGATTTTTCGTGTACTACATGGCCATCAACCACCGGAATAATGTTTTCGGTTTGCTGCTTCACCTCTCTTGGCATTTACCCGAAGATGAAAGCATTTCAGTGCATTCACGAATGGCCTATAGAAGGGCATCTGTTTCTGAAAAAGGCAACGTTGGCTCCTTTGAATCGCCTAAAAAAATGCCCCTTGTGTTATTGTTATTATTATCATTATTATTATTATTTTTATTATTAATGTTTTGCTGACAACGCTTCGCCTTTCTTATATACATATCTATGTATAGGTTTATGAAAGAAATGCGGAAGGAGCACACTGAAATTCACATACCGTGATTGGTCGAGGATTTATTTCTTCTTTGCCTTTTTTCGCTCGTCCTTGCCACCGGCGTTCAAGAGCGAAAGGGCACATTTTGTGTATCTTGAGAAAACGTCCGGGCCGACGGCGCGTGGGACCCCTGTTTGCGTGGGCCTCCTCGCATTTTCCAGGCGCGAGGCCGCTTATTTATTGCGGCTGCCATCGGGGAGCTGGTCGTCCTATAAATTAATTCCTGATTTCGCCGTCCCAGAGATCCCCGATATTTTCAATCTTCACTGCGTCCTTCGTCCAAGTTGGTTCCTCAAACTGCGTTTGCCCTACTTAATGCGATTCAAAATCCTTTAGTCGCGTTCAAAAACGGCAGTTGTGCAGCTCAAGTGGCTTTACCATGCGGCTCTTTGTGACCGGAAACGCGCCGCGATTTCCACCCAGCAGGGTTATGGCAAGAAATATTTTCTTTATGAGTACGCTCCCGGGCAGCTGGCAGGACCTTGCGGTTGTCAATAGGAGCCGCACAAGACGTGAATGAGAAGGAGTGAAAGGAATGGGGACGGAGTTCGCCAGATCCTCGATGAACGTTTACACAACGTGAGTGCATATTTATGTGTGCCCATTGTGGTGGCCACCGCCGCGGCGTGATCCCTCCATCCGGATTGGGCGTGTATATACATCTGCATGTGCGCCTTCATAACTCACGAGGTGGCGGATTTTGGACTCCTCCAGCCACACCAACACGCCGCGAAGGATTAGCGCTGCGCCTCGCAGCGGGTCGTGGCGGGTGGCGTCCCACACCCACAACTGAGGCACGGCGCACACAATCCGCTCCCCCGAGCGCACTCAGCAGGCAGGCGCCCAGTCACCCTCGTGCCCTTGCAATGGGGAACAAAAAAAATCGTCGTCACGGACCATCGGTGCCTCTAGCGGGAAAGAAAATGAAGAAGAAATGGGGGCGTGTCAGCAGCACAGCCGGCAGAGGAATAATAAAAAGGGACACGGAGACACACGGCGGCAGTGGACACGGCACAGACGGAAAAGAGACTGTAGTGATTTACCGAAACAGAAAAAAAAAATGAAAAAAATTAAAACAAAAAAACAATTGACTCGGCAGATATGTCATTTCATGTGCCACGCAGCACAATACAACCGTGTTCTTGAGTTTATACATGCTGCCCGCACACACAAATAAAAAAAGGAATTGTACTCTCCCACCAGCCCACACAACATCCCTCACATTCCACGCGGCATCCGGCCTGCTCCTCCACTCCTCCTTTCGTGCAGTCCGTGGGACGCACAGCAATGAGGCCGGCACCGCGTGTAGGCAAAAAAAGCAACAAAAGAGGGGGAAGTACGTCAGTCGTGACGGTGTTTGGCAAGCAACCATTTGGGGGAAAACACGCAAATAGGAATGCTGATTATTTCAACAGAGCAGCAGCAAAAAAAAAAACAAAAACAAAAGAAAAAAACAGAAAACGAAAGAAAAACCATAAAAAAACAGAAAACCATGAACAAAAACAAAAAGGAACACATGCTTAAAAGAAGAAAAAGAAGAAAAGCCTGCTTGACAAAGTTGGGTGAGTATTGCTGGGAGCTGCACAGTTGTTGTTCCACGAAAAGCCGCCATTCCACCCTTCCTCACACCTCAGCAGAGAGCCGCGGTGCCCCACAGCCCCAGAAGCAGCAGCAACAACACCCGAGACACACACCCATGCACGGTGCTGTCACCAATTAGAGCCATGGCCGCCAAGTCGCTCAAATGCCCGTGCTCAAGCAAAACGTCATGGTCCGAGAGCGATGTTGCGTTGGACCCCGATGGGATCTTGGTCTCCCCAGGCAGGGCGCTTGCATTCACCGGTGCGGTGCCAACGCCCTTACCGTCTCCATTTTCGACCAAAGGCGCATTGGTTTCTTGCGTCTGCCGCTCAGTGGCCCCTTCCGAAGAGGCCGCTTCTTCTTCGTGGATCGGTCGCTCCACGTCGGCCTTCGGAATGACTTCAGTCCCAAGAGGTGGTGGCACTTCTTCCTGCAGAGTGGTGCCCTCACGGACACTCATCCCGTCGTCGCCTGAATGAGCAGAGGTGCCCACACTCGATGAGGCCGGTGGAGACGCCAATTCGCCGCTGACATCCTTCTCCGTCTCCTCCCCCCTTGTTCCGTGAAAGCCACGGCCCCCAGAAGACACTGCGGCAGCATCACTGCCTTCAGGCGCTTCCACGGAGGATTGTGGCCGTGGAAGCGCCTCCTCAACTTCCCGCTCTGCCTCCCCTCTTCAGGTGATGATGGTGTTTCCTCCTCTTTCTCAGTGAGGAACTCCTTACCAGGGCTCGGAATAGAGACTTTGCTGGCTCTGGGTTTCGCAATTTCACGTCCATAGATTATGGGGTTGTACAGCAGGACGTTGGTCACCGTCAAGTGGCTGCTTTCCGAACCCTCCTTATTCTCCGAGTCAAAATAGATGTGTGAGACCCTGTGATCTTTAAACAGATTCCAGTCGTATTCCCCAGAATAAACCCGCATTCTGTCAACGTACACATCCCACTCACTGGCATCCATTTGCAGCATTACTTGATATGTTTTGTTTGGTTGCCAATTATAGTTACCTTCGTAATATTCATAGTGTTCATCATCTTCGGCACCTCCATAAGTTCCATTGGGAAGTGTGAACCTCCACTTTTTTTCGTGGGTGTACGACAGACCAAAGAGCGCCGTGCTTTTGGTGTCATTCATGATCACACCCATCAAAGGAATGGGGCTGCCTGCCTGCGGCACCTCGTGGATGGACATCGTCGCCACAAGAGTGAATTTGTTGTTCGCAAAGTGGTACGGTACAGTCTGCCCCATGTCGCCAACAGGCCACACCGCCCACGCCCCGGGTCCTTGGAACGTCAATCCATTGCGAACCCTTGGCTCCCCATTATTCACAGTTGCATTCACGCAGAGGTACTCGTCCCTCCATTTGTTATCAGAGAAGTTACCAGACAAGAAGCCAACAAGCCCATAAGTGGGAACAGGACCAGCGCACATACCTTCTTTCTCGGGTCGACAGTGGCGCTGGAACCAGAATGGCATGATTGCAAGGCGCTGTCCAAATCCTTCCATTTCTTCACCATGGATTTGATCCGCTTCAGCTTCTCGGTCAGGCTCACGGCGACAAGACTGTATGATCCGTCATCACCCTTCTTGTTCTCGTACAGTGAAATCAACTTTTCATTCCCACTCTTCATCAACAGCGAGCTCGCGGCAGCGTCATCATCCTCACGGGATATCGGTCCAACATCATACACGCGTGCCTTGTCCGTAACCCAAAGGTGGAGCCGACCCTTTTGTTTATTGTCGTCCTTCGGATACACCGGCAGGGTGACGAGCATCACATACTTCCTCTCAATCGTCACTTTGATGAAGGCATTCTGGACACCGTGCCCCTTTCGATTGTGTGAGTTGCCCCACACGCGAGTAAGTGTCTCACCATATGGATACCAACTCCACCCACTCTCAGTGGATCCGTACACGTCACGGTAACCTTGCTCACAAGAAGCCATCATGAGGAATCTGTCACCTCCCCACTCCACGACGGTCGGGTCCCTGCAGCCATCACTAACCGTTTGGTGCGAAAGCTTCCATTTCTTCTCTGACTTATCAAAGCGCATGAACAGCAATGAATTCTTTCCTTTCTCTGTGGCCTGCAGGGGAAACATAAGTGTACCGTCCTTCGTCTTAATCCCCGATCCTCCGCCAGAAACCATGTGGGTCAGGGATTTAGCAACATATTCATCGTTTCCAAACGTCACCGCATGAGTCTCATTCCACGTGATTACATTGCCACCACTGACGCTTCCCTTTACCAGCAAAAGCCCCCCAGTCACGTGCATTAGCCGATTTATCCGCCGACGGTGTAACGCTCTGATTTCTCAGAAGCATGTAGACACCGTCGCCAGCCACAACTGTCGTTGGCCGCATTGTTTCTTTTGCCTCGACGGTACCCGTCGCAACACCCTCTGGAAACGGCATCAACAAACTTGTGTCCTCCGTCAATATCTCCGTTGGCTTATCATCAGTTAGATCGAGGTGCCTTGACGCAATCCCAGCACGGCTGCAGCTTTCTCCTTTTTCCTTGCACAGCGCTTCGGCAACGAAGAACACGTTATTGTTCACCTCAAGGCTGCGAACGCGGAGCGAGAATAATTTTTCATTAACTTTTGTAGGGGCTTCCCATTGAGAGGATGTCCATCCGATCCCTGTGAATGGATCAACGTCAGTCTTCGTCTGCACAGTGTGTGCACAGCCCCACTGCCGCATAACACGTCGAGAAGCAGCACCGCGGAATTGAAGAGATGCTGGGACATGTTGGGCCTCTGATGCCCACTCTCTCCTCCTTCCCTCCTCCTTCCGCTGGATCCGGTCACGCGAGTACGGTTGTGTGTTCGGGGCGCCTCCACAGCAGCAACGCTTGAGAGTATATTAATACGTGTGTGTGGGCGGTGTGTGTGTGTACTGTTGTTGTTCCTTTCAGAGCCCTCAGAGTGCACAGTGGCGATTCGCGCTTGTTTTACTTCCTTTTTTGTGTGTGAAGGAAATGGAAAAAGTCATGG